TCCCACTGTTACAATTGATCTCCAGATTTTTTTTTTAAACAAACTTTATTGAACTTTTTTAACAAAAGTTAAATAAAATAACATATCATAAAATAAGAATAAAAGTAATAAAATACAAAACAAACAAACAAACAAACAACCCGAAAACAATAATTCAAAACAATCAATATCCAAACTTATCCACCATCCAACAGATTATACATTCCAATAACTGTCCAGTCTCGCTTTACTTTTATGTTTAACATAGCACAAGAAACTAAAATATAAGGCAAACATAGCTGAGAACCCTTAGTTATCATTCTGATGTTAAGTAAACAACAATAACTGATATTTGGCATTTCTAATGGTCTCCCAATCAAATTTATCTATATTCATTTGTTCTATGATGGGGGACCATATATTCATAGGGTTCATTATACCAATTTCCATCTGACTTTCAGTGAAAAAAATATTAAAGTTTTCCAATAAAAACAACTCCCAAATTTTATGAGTCCATTGTTGTACTGTGGGTATGTTTTTATCCTTCCAATGTTTAGCAATCAATATCTTCGCAGCTGTTAACAGAATATTAATCAATTTCTTATCCCCATATGTAATGGGAATGTCTGGCCATAAACACAACAGAATTAATGCTGGGTCTTGGGGTATTTCGCAACGTGTAAGTACTTTAATTTGCTGAAGAATGAGTGACCAGAAGCTTTGTATATATTTGCATGACCACCAGCAGTGTATGTATGTCGCCCTTTCCCCACAGTTTTTCCAACACATTGGTGAGATGGTAGGAAACATATGCGTCAGTTTTGTGGGAGTTAAATACCATCGTAGCATTAGCTTTGTGTTAGCTTCATAAATATACAGAGACCGCGTCATCTTTTTATGTGATGCCCATATTTGTTCCCATTGATCCCCTGTGATCTGTCTTTGAAGGTCAACTGACCAAGCCTTCTGATATGAGAGGTTAACTTTTGAATCAGATTTAAGTAAAATGTTATATGTCTTGGATATAAGTCCTTTTTTTGTGTGTTGCAGGTATAATATTTTTTCAAATTCTGTGAGTGGAGTGAGCACAGAGGATTTAAAAGATGGTGATTCTAAAAGGTGTCTCAACTGAAGATATTCATACCATTTAACTGTGATGTTATATTTCCTTTCTATCTCCAGTTTCCCAAGCATTTTGTCTTTGTGTAGTACATCAATCATTCTTGTAACTTTTGCTTTTTTCCAGGTGCGGAACTGCGTAGGATCCTTGGCCGGGATAAACCAAGATTGTCCACTGAACGTGCTTAGTTTCGAAGAAGATGTGGTGAGTATTCTTTTGTTATTACGCCATATTTTAAGAGTAGTTTGTAGGTATGGGGAAATGTTTTCTAACTTAAAATCGAAATTCCTTGGTTTCCAAAGTAATTCTCTAAATGTGTGTCCCACCAAAGTATGTTCCTCTATCCATTTCCAGTCGATGTTTAAATCCTCATCATAGTGACGCACTAGCATTGCCATATTGGTAGCATAGTAATAAAGTTTAAGGTCGGGAACCGCCATGCCCCCTTTATTTTGAGGTTTTTTCAGAACATTAAAACTAACTCTCGGTCGTTTATAATTCCATAAAAATTTATTGATACCATTTTGCCATCTAGTTAACATATTATTTGGAATAAATAGTGGCAGTGTGCGAAATAAGTACATAAATTTGGGGAGGACAAACGTTCTTAAGATCGAAATGCGGTCTATCCATGTAAAAGAATTGGTAGACCATTTCTGCAATTGAGACATTATTTCGTTAAAGGTGGCTATATAATTTAGTTTTAAAAGGTCCTGAATGGCTATTGGTATTTTGACCCCTAAATATTCAAAGTGATGAGTGACCCATTGATAGGTATATAACCCTTGAATTTCCTTCTTAATTTCAGAAGAAATATGAATTGGGTAAATTAAGGATTTAGACATATTAATTTTAAGTCCTGCTAGTTTCCCAAAGGTATTCAACGAAACTTGAATCGCTGCCAATGAGGATACTGGCGAAGACACATATAATATCATGTCATCCGCAAACATACTTAATTTAAACACCTTATTATTGATTTGGATACCTTTAAACTCCAGATTTGATCTAAATAAACATGCCAATGGTTCAATGGCCAAAACGAATAAAAGGGGAGAGAGAGGGCATCCTTGTTTCGTGCCCCTCTGAAGAAAAACCGGATTAGACGTAGCTCCATTTGCTAGAATATAGGCTTTAGGTTTATCATATATTGCCGTTATAGAGTTACAAAAGTGAGGACCAAAGTTTAAGTGTTGTATTAATGATGATAGGTACGAAATTTCCAAAGAATCAAATGCTTTTTGTATATCAAGGGAAAGCAGCATTGTTTGCGAAGTAACATCGAGTTTGCCATAATGAATGATGTTAAGAGTCTTTCTAATATTATCGGCAATATCTCTGGCTGGAATAAATCCAGTTTGATCAATACATACATAATTTTCTATAATGCCTTTTAATCTCTTCGCCACCATACCAGTAAAGATCTTGTAGTCTGTATTGCTCAGAGATATGGGTCTGAATGAGGCTGGGTCAGCATTGTCTTTATTTTTCTTTGGTATTAAAACCACGTTCGATAATTTCCAGGACTCTGGCATATTTCCCGTGGTAATTATTTGGTTACAAGTCTCCAATAATGCCGTGTTTATAGAGGGAAAAAAAGCCTTATAATATTCATTTATAAAACCATCGGGGCCTGGAGCCTTATTGTTTTTTAATGATTTGATAGCTATTTCCAATTCTTGCATTGAGAAAGGTGCTTCCATAGCTTCTCTGTGGTCACTAGAGAGTTTAGGTAGACCCCGGATAGATGTAAGAAAGGAGCTAATAAGGTCCTGATCAGGTTTTGTTGTAGCGTATAACTGATTATAAAACGTTTCTAGCACAGTAAGAATCCCTTCCGTGGTGTGTTGAAGCTGGTTTTGTTCATTCCTTAAGCCAAAAATGTGTCTCTCTGCTTGGCGTTTCTTGAGTTTCCAAGATAAAAACTTTATTTGTTTAGATGATTTAGATGTATTATTTTTAAAATAACTAAAACTCGTTTTCTGTATATCTGTAGTTTCTAATAATTCTAGCTGCTTGCACACATTTTGCAATCTTTTGTATATCTTAATACCACAAGTTTGCTTGTGCTTACGCTCTAATAATTGTATTGTGTTCAGTAAGTTCGACTTCATAGCTCTTTTCTCTTTTTTATAGGAGGCCAGCAACGATATACAATGACCCCTAATGAAGGCCTTAGACGCTTCCCAAATTGTTGAAATTGTGGTATCCTTAGTTGTATTATTTCGGAAAAATTCTTGCAAATGATCTTGAATCAAGTCTTTCAATTTGGATTCATATAATAACACTTTATTAAATTTCCAATTGAACTTATTCTGTTGTGGTGTTTTATTTAACGTTAGCTTACAATACACAGGGGCGTGATCTGACCATAACTGCAATCCAATTTTGGACGTGAGTGCATGGCTAATTAGCGATGTTGAAAGGAAAATATAATCCAGTCTTGAGTGGGATCTAAACCTACTGGAATAGTATGTGTAATCACGCTCATTACCGTGTTGTAGTCTCCACACATCCTCGAATCCGTACTTAGTTATTAACGTCTGAAGAGAGGAGATAGAATGCTTCCTTGTCGTCTCATTAGTGGTAAAAGGCTTTGTAGACCTGTCAAGCTTAGGATCTAAAAGATAATTGAAATCACCGCCTAATATTGTAGGATAGTCTGAAAAACATTTAAGTTTAGCAAAAGTTGCAGCTAAAAATTTAATCTGATTAGAATTTGGAGCATATATTGTAGCTAGGTTGATTTTGTCTCCATTAATACTGCCTTTAAGGAACAAAAACCTTCCCTCACCATCTATTTTAGAATCTTCCAACACAAAGGGAATCTCTTTAGCTATAACTATTGCTACTCCCCTTGATTTATTTGTGCCACATGCTACAACCTGAGTTGTATACCAAGCCGAGGGCAATATGTTTTTTACCTTTTTTACATATACCTCCTGCAAAAATGCAATGTGGATCTTTTCTTGATGCAGTTGTTTAGCAATACGCTTTGCCTTAATAAAATTGTTTAAACCACGACAGTTAAGAGTGGCTATGTGCAGACTTTCCAGATTAGTCATTAATTAACATGGTAAAAAAGGCAAAATCTTTGCTAAGATCAGAACTCAACTCACACATATATGCTTGACTCCCCAACCAATGTCCATTGAAAAAACTTTTTATAACGATATCAACATCCTTATAATACTTGTGCCACAGGATTAACAAGAGAAAAGATACTCTCTGTGGATGGAACAGAACAATTAAACTCATAACCTGAAACTTAAAAATCCCAACTAACCCCCCTCCCTTCCCTACCCCCAGGTCCCAAGGTGAGGAAAAAATTTCCCCACTGAGTCGAGAAGACTCATCTCTGGAGACTAACTCTGAATTAAAGAGCATTTTTGAAAACATTATCCAAACCTTACAGCCCACCAAAAGGGGCCTAGGGGGACCTACCGACAAGCTCTCCCCCCCCCATCAACCCTTCTTGTTGAAATTCAACTCTCCGTGTACAATCTTTGTCAGGTACAGTCTTAAACTTTATCTATCGTAAAGCACTATTTCTAATCAACAAAAGTGTAGAAGCTAAGAGATAAACCTGTAGAGAAATATATTAAAAGTTCACTCGTCTTCTCGTCGGCGTCCTCTTCCAGCGGCTGGGCGTAGAATGTTCTGGCCGCTTTCTTTTACGTTCAGCAGCTTCAGTTTCCATCTCCTCCGCTGTTTTGAGCCCCAGGGCTTGCAGGATGGCTTCTCCGGTTTCCAGGTCTGCAGCTTGGTGTAGTGTGCCTCGATGCATTACTTGTAGATGACCTGTTGTAGCCCAGCGGTATTTGATGCCTGCCTCCGCTAAACTTTTCGTTATAGGCTTTAAATGCCGTCGTATCTGCAAAGCGTCCGGCGGAATGTCCGGGAATATCGAGATCACTTCTTCCTTGTATTTGAAACTGCCGGTTTTCCTTATTTCAAGCAAGACTTGATTTCTCATTTTAAGATCCAGAAATTCCACTAGGATATCACGCGGTCCCTTCCTTTTATCAGCTTTGATGTTCCCTAAGCGGTAGGCTCTTGTTAGAACAGGGTCTATGCCCTCGTCAAATTCCATCACCGTTCCCAGCCAGGAGCTAATAAAGTTAATAAGGTCATTTTGGCCCTCCGATTGTTCAGGAAAACCGCGTATTTTCAAAATTTTTTCTCTGGACCGGTGTTCTAGAATAAGGATACGCTCTTTGGCCCAGGTTTCAGAGTCCTGTAAACAGCGTATATCCTCTTGATTCGCAATGGACGTTTCGGTAGCTGTGTCAGCTGCCTGTGCGATGTTTTGAATTGCGGTTTGCATTTCATCTAGCCTGTCGGAAATAGGCTTTATAATGCCATTAATGCTCTCCAGCATTTCTGCCTTAAAGCTTTGGAAGAAATCAAGAATGTCTTTTTTTGTTAGCTCTGTTGATGTTTGATCGGGTTTCTTGCCACCCGCCGCCATTTTGACCGGATCGTGTTTCCGTGGCGTACTCACCGGGCTGTTTCCAAGGCGTTCTTTCTGGAAGTACGTCTTCAAGAACGAGGTATTTTTTGTTGTGGTGTGATGTCGAACCTTAGACAGTTTTCCCATGCCGTTTTTAGCTGGAATTGAGAGTCGGCTGCGTTTTAAATTTAAAGAAAGGTTGATGGGGTTGC